CTCCCAGCGGCCGCGGGAAGCAACTTCGACTACATTTTTTTCACTTTGCATTTACTTCTAAAAATTTCATTCCCTGCCTATCCTATTTCCCCACCCCCGAAAGTTCTGTAACCACCGTTTTTGCAAGACAAAATGTTGGGACTAGGCGTATATGAGTGGGCCTACATAAGCTTCCTTTGGCGAAACTTTTTTACGACCGAAACATACCCTTTCTTTAAGTATGAAATTTAAAGAAGGCATAAGTTTCTACCAAACGAGTACGAGAAAGTATGTTTTCGTACATGTTTTCCATAAAATATAGTTGACTTTATACAGGCAGTCAAAATCAATGATAAAAATGCATACTATTTAAGTAGCCATTTTTTGAAGTAAATACGTTTTGTTAGCGGTCAGAAAGAAGCTCGTTAAAAAGCCGGCATCCTATTGTGACTGAAATGGCTTGAGAATAGGCTACGCGATAATCATTATTTCAATCCTATTCAATGCCGATTAGCGAGTGAGTATCAATCTTTCGCAAATGTCGGCATGTTGCATGAATTCTGAGCCGTACTGTAGTTATAACTCAGATATTATTTTGGAAAAGATCTCCAGCAGACATTTGCGCTTTCGATCAGATGCGTGATTTATTTCAGGAATGGGTCTTTGAGGAAGAGACAGCCATCTTTTTAAGCATATTCGTAAATCTGTTAAAGGAATCAGGAAGACCTGTAATTTCTTCAGTAGTTGATTAATACAAGGATCTCTGAAATGAAACTAAGTCTAATCACTGCTAGTAGTAGAATTCTTAAGTCTTGAAATGAAACCACTGAAATTTTAAGTTTTGCCCGATAAATTCCCTCTAAAGGCCAAATTGTGAAATAATAAGCGATTCGTGGGACAAACACTAGGCTTAAGCCAATAAGAGAGGCAAATTACTAACTTTAGTAAATTGAAAAGTCTGGGTCGTCTATGCGCTTAACAGAGACGAAGGCGTGTAGTGGGTGGCCGTCACTCTGACTCGCATGCAAAGGTGCCAGTTCACAATGCTATAAACTTCGACAAACATTTCACCAAACATTTCTATTTTTGCGTCATATATTGGAAGACTCTGGTACAGATATAACGGAAGCCCTTTTTGAAATAATCAACATGCGACGTGCACTTACTGTGTCAGGACAAACTTCTTAGTTTCCACGTTCGCCTGTCTTGCTCGGGCTGCCGCTTCCTGCTCCAGTTTGGTGGCTAAACAGCGAAGAGTAGGAAATTTAGGCAAGATTCCTACCTTCATCCAGCTTCCGTAGGAACTCCTTGTACCCATCATCTCCCTTGTTTTTCTCGTACTCTTCCTGCATGCCCTTTAACTGCATTTGCAAATCACGCTCCCTAAGCACCTCAGTCAGATGTAAGGCTTCCTAAAATGAACTCGCTATTGGCGAAATCTGCAGGGCATTACATGGAACCGTCGGACTCGCTCACTCTCATAGTACTGCATGGTCCTGGCTTCGCACAACTTCTTTCGTCTCTGCTCAGCTTGGTACCTGGCCTCCTCCTTGTCCTTCTCAACGCGTTCTGCCTCCTCCTTTGCCAGTCGTTTC